CTTCACAAGCTATAAGTAATGCAATGGGTTTTAATTTGAAGCAGCAGCAACAGCACGAAATGTTGGGTTAGAATCAGTAACAAATAAGAGAGATAAGGCTGGGATTAATTTTTTGTGCTTTGCCGTCTCTCTCCTCACTTTCTGCAGGTATTTCTGGCTCCGGATCTGTGGTTGTAGGCTTCCTGCTGCCCCCATATTCCAGCTCGACACCCTCTGCTACAATTATTATTGCTATTGTTTATTTACACCTCTGTGGAACATTGTATTACCGTGTGTAGGTAGAACTGAATACTCACCAGCACAGATGAAGAACATTTTCTGAAGATTTTTCCACTTAAGAGCCTTCCAGAAATGTAGGGATAATGCTCACTGAACCACTGGAACACTGTTAATGTAACATCTATGCAGGAAGTGTTGGTTTTCACTGACAATTGATTAACAGTGAGTTTTAACTTTGCATTTCCAAGAGAACAGGAATTAAAAGGCATGACTACAATGTACTGCTTCAAAAATGCTCCGGGTCACTATCAGAGACAAACACAATGTCCTTTATTCATCTACATTTTCCAATGCCATGAACCTCTCTGGGATGGCTAGCTCTTGTTATACTTTATCTAATCTGCTATTTGAATTGACTGAACACACTTCTAAAATACCAATTTTTAATATACACAAACACAACGTCAGGGGCTCTTGATTCCCTTGCTAATGATGCTAACAAATATTAAATATTCTGACTGCAGCATGGTTTTCAGTCCCAATGGCAGAGGCTCAGGGGCTAATGGGGAGGCAGAGAGATTGAATGTTATGGGGCCTATCTAAGCACCTCCTCCACACACATGTGCACTCAGATGCACACTTTCACACACAAAGTGCATCATTAGTCTGTATATTTGAAGTTTCCACCGTGTGTGCTTGTGGTTCTGTTATTCATTCATGCAGTATTAGTGCCTGAAAACCTTAAATCTGTAGATCAGTCATTCCTCATTTCTGAAGTTGTTTCTTTAACATTCCAGGCAGCATTGGTTTGAAAATTAACATTTAGAAGTGATCCATTACAGATAACGTGAGTGTAGTTCTCAAAGTGAGTTCAATGTAAGCTCAGTAGAAATGTCTTTTGGTAGGTTTGGATTATTTTAGGTAACTCAGTCAGAGATGGTCAGGAACAGGAGTATTAACTGTGTGCCACAGAAAACATTGAAACCTTCTCTAGAAGTATGAGACCACATTTCTGAGTGACAAAAAAAACTCAAGTAAATTTTTGTGTAAATTGTTGGTGGACATGTTATTCTTCCTGGATTTCCACATCATTAATACCTGCACAACTTGTCACAAGTACTGTTATTTCTTTTTAATATCTTTTAACATTTCATCTCACCTAGGCTAGAGATACCACTAGCAGGAAGTATATGATTTGCCTTGATTTTACTGCACTTGCTTATGTTGGGTTGAGTACGGTCTAAACCTGCTCTATGAAAAGTGCATTGAGATAACTTCTTTTATGAATTGACGCTATATAATTGAACTGAATTGAATTGAATTTGGGTTGAATGGGCTAAAATAACCAACCACATGTTTGTATTTTTAAAATATTTAAATGAAGATTTTGTCTGACTATAGATTTCAAAATGTAACCGTTTGCACCTCTTTAACACACTTCAGTGCATGACATTGGCCTTTTGCATTTTTAAAAAAGTCCTCATGTCACTAGATTAAAACTTTGTATGTTAGTTGGTTGTTAGTATTCAGGAACTGTCACTGACAACAACATCTCTTTTACAGTGATGTATAAATGAATACATTCAGGGGCATTAAAGGCTGCTGTGGCTGAGGAGTTAGAGTGGGTTGGCTAGTATTCGAAAGATCGGCGGTTCAATCCTGGCTCCCCCAGGCTGCATGTCAAAGTGTCCTTGGGCAAGATACTGATCCCCGAATTGCCCCAGGCGGCTCTTCTGCCGGTGTGTGAATGTTAGTTTCTGTTTGAGCACTTAGGCTCAGTGTGTGGATGTAGTGTAAAAGTGCTTTGAGTGGTTGAAAAGACTAGAAAGGCGCTATACAAGTACAGAGTGTCCAAAATTTGGCTATATGTGAGCATCAGTACGCACATGCAGATAATATAATGTTGCTCTTGGTTTGTGGCTAACGTTCTCATGACCATAGGAAGTATAAATGTATAGTTTTACTTTGGTTTCATCTGCAGGGGGGAGGTTCCCCCTTTCTGGTTTATATATTCCTGCCTCTGCTGAATAATTTTTATCCCCGGTGGGGACAAAGTTTATCCTCCCTTCAGAATGATCAATGCTACATCACTTGTGATGCAATGGATCACAAAACTTAAGGTTTGGATCGATTTGAGGTTGTTTTTTTTTTAAATGTGCTACTTTAGCTCTGATCTAGCTGCTTCTCTCTCTCTGGGCCTTTCCGAAACTAGACCCTGGCCACTTCCACTCTGACACTCTGGTTGGAGTCACCCTCACAGCGAAATCGAGCTCCCTAACAAGCATAAGTTGGCCCCTGTATTTAAAGTTGGTCCCTGTATTTATATACAGGGGCCAACTTTCGGACAAACTACCCTTTCCCCCCAGGGTAAATAGAATCTGACATTACTGCTGCAACAGTTGTATTAAAGGGACTGTATGTAAGTTTTTCAATGAAATTAATTATTATTGTAAATGGGCTCAAAACTCACTTAGAAATGAAGCACACGCCTGTTTTCTCTGTTGCTTGCATCAGCCACTATTCTGCTTTTAATGTGAGGACACCAGGTCGGATTCAGCCCTGTGCGCGCTCCCGAGCCTCTCTCGTACTACAGCACGGCAGCTAACAACATGCAGTCCACTAACACCATAAAACAACTTGCTCACAGCAAAAAACACAGACTCCATGTAAGGATACTAAACAACAATAAAGGTTTATGTGCTGAAGCCCATCAGACCAAACAGGTTCAGATGATGTCGAGTAAGAACAAAGTGAGCATTAGTAAAGCTGGAGAAACGCAGAGAAAGTGACGTTAGCTCGCCGGCTAACACCGGGCAGTTGCTAATGTTATCCGGTGCAAAGTTATATCACTTTCCACATTAATTCACCAACTAACGCGACCCATGTTACTATCCTGTGTACCACTGTTGATTTAGCCTGCAAGAAAGGATATAACGGTGAAAAGCAAATGTGGAGCAATTTGTTTACTAAGTTTGCAGCCAGGAGCAGCCAGCTAATGCTACAGTACCTCAGACCTGCCGCTGTTTGCTTCGTAACGTTCAGTTTAGGTTTATTGTGGTTTTACCAATACTCAGGTACACAGCTTCTCCACCTCTCCGTCGCTGTAACTAACGTGACCCACATAATATACATTACTGCAACTTCACAACGACAACAACCCATTGCTGAGCCTCCGGAGACAGATTCACTGAAAGCAGCAGACGAGCTAATGATGTAGCACGTCGGCTAAATGCTAAATGCAGTAAATGTACCGTGATCATGTAACGAGCATGGATTAGTTCAACCTGCAATTGATAAAAATATTACTGTAACGTTGCAGTGGGAGTTTACCTGAGTTTCCAGTATATTGTGTGAAGCAGTCTCCCTCTCTGTCTATAGCTGCTGTCACTCTGCCTTTTTTCCGGGAGGATTGTGCCGATATGCGGGTCGCTGCACTGAATTAAGTAACATAACGGTGCCGGTGTTGATCTGCCTCTGAGACGGGAACGTTGAAGTAACAGAGCCTGAACATGTCTGAGTGAAAAGCCACAGATTGCATGCTGGTGTTCCTGCGTTCATTGCAGGATTTCTGTATGAAAGTGGTAGTGTTTTGGATTGTGCTTGCTCACGAGTTCAAGCGAGCACACGCCTGGTAGCAATCTTAAAACCGCACCGCTAGTGGCCGCTGGAAACTCCATAATGCCCCTTTAAGATTCAGGAAAAGTGTGTTTTTAGCAAAACTGAAAGCATTTGTCATTTATTTTGAGCTTGTGTCGAATATTTATTTAAGAACATGACTTTAGATATGTACGAAAATGAAATGTATTCTTTTATGAAAAGACTGATTTTCATTGTAAAGAAAAGCCTATATATTTTGTACCTCTTTATCTTATCTGAAAAGTATTACATTCACAAATCCAACATTTCAATATAAATCATACATTATATTGAAGCATTAGTCTGAAGAATGTACAACAGTTAAAATGTTTAAAGTCTTAGCTGTTTTTCTGTAATGCCTTTGTTGCTTGTTACGTGATCCCCCTGTGTATCTAGTTGTGCCCTGTTCTATTATTCTGCCGTTTAATGTAGGCTGTTTTGTTTTGGCTGACAATTTTCGTATGAGATGAATACAATTCAATAAAAACAACAGTTGTATTGTCTATCAGACAAGAGCCCTTTTTTAATAAACACAATATAATCTTTGGGCTATGTTGTTAACCTGTGAGTGGTGATATGAAATGTTAGTGTAGTTCCGGAATTTAATAATCCGACATGTTAACCAGCGAAGTCACACGGAACTCACATTTGAAAAAAAGTCCCCCATCGTGCAGCAAAGGGATCGTGCACCTTCCACAAGCCGGTATCGGTGCTCACTCTGCATTGGAGGGTTTAATAACCCACTACCACTCCGCCCTCAATGGTTTCGGATGGCACTCAGTGTGGCGGCACTCAGTGTGGCGGACCCTCCGCATGAACGCGCAAACGGAGTGGAATAGGTAGGGAGAGGGAGTAGCAAGCAGTTTCAGAGAGAACATGAGTGAATGAAGCCTGAATAGTGTGAATAGTGTCTCTTTTCTGTTTATTGAATGGGAGTTTCAGTATGTGTTTCTGTACTGGTAAAATAAAGTTGTATTTCTCTCTTGGTTAGAATGTAGTAGCTGTTCATTATAGTCTCTTTCTGAACAGCGGTTGTGACACGACCAGCTATGGAGGGTTGGGGGCTTGCATGTGTGTAGCAACAGGGCAGAAACCACGGAGATGGCAGTGTAGCATGCAATGTCATACCAGTAAATAGTACTTACATAAATATCTGCACCATAAAATCCATCCTGGTAAACAACACTGCAGAGGATGCAAACAAACACAAACAAACAAACAATTAAAAAAAACATCCATATTAGAGCATGTTAACATGCAGGCACTGGGCTAACAACCCCCCATCTCCACTATCCACAAAATGATTCAGAAAAGACATAAAAGGGGGCAGAGTCAAAGATGAAATACAACAGGCACCCCCTCCTCTCTAATAGCTGGGTAAGGAGGCTGGGATGGTTCCAAAACAATCTCTAACTGCATCAAGAGTACAAATAAGAGAACAGCTAGAAGTCTGATCAGCAGTATCAGATTTTTATATCTAAAAATAGAAATCATCCATTGACTTTTATGGATTTAAGAACTCTTAATGCAGAGTACATTAAGCTCAGACTTGTGTTATTGAGAGTCTGAATATGAGACAGGAGGATTCAGCACACCTCATTTGCAATTTGCAACAGTGTTTGTGTGAACCTCTTCAGCTCAGTTGGGGCCTGTTTCATGACGCCAGATTAGTGGGTTAGCCAGCTATCTTTGGGCTTTCAGGTTTTTTGGTACTACAAAGTTGGTTCACTTTTAACTGGGGTAGTGCAAGGAACGACACAACCCATTGTAGGTACCGGAGAGGGAGTCGGGCGCTGGGGCGTACAGGGCCAGCGACATCTGGTCTGGTTGAAGCCCGATGCTCCTGATTTTACACATGATCCATGATGATACAGCAATATAGAAATTAATGGCAAAAAAAGCATACTCTCAGTATTTTAGAGACCCCCCCCCCTGAAATTTCAAAAATCATGTTTTTAGGGGAGCTAAGCTCCCCCTGGCTCCCCCGTAGTTCGCACGCTGCTCACCAGGCACAAACTACTTGTCTCCACCTCTTTTGTCAAGTTTTAGCTTTGACACCATTATTATTATTATTATTTCCTTTTCTACGTCTACACTCCCGGAATTATACAAGAAGAAGAAGAATAACATAGTGACGAAACGAGCTCTGTAGTACCATTTGTCCATTTTAAGCTACTGTAGAAACATAGGGAAGCAACATTGCGACCTCCATGTAAGGGGGACCCGCAGTTACGTAGATAGAAATGGCTCATTCTAAGGTAATAAAAACATAACTGTTCATTATCTAAGGTCTTTATACACCACTGAAAACATAGGATCTGTCAATAAATCCTCAGAAATATTACACACTGAACCTTTAAGAATAACTTCATTTCAGCTGCAAGCCCAGTGGAACAAGGCAGGATGAAATCAAAAAATATTTTATCATGTAGTGTGTATTAGGCAGTTTTCCATGAAGACAACCTGCTCGGAGCAGTTTAGAGATGCAGCGTAAATTGCCATGGCGACATAACTTGGGTAACACCTATCTACCTTTCGTAGTACAGTTTAATCGGGAAGTTACACCTGACGTCACAAACTTACTCCTGAAGTTACCTGGATAAGCCAGTTACCTCTTTTCGTAGTACAGGCCACTGATCTGTCTAATGATATGTAAGAGCTGCATCACCATTAGTGCTGAAATTAAAATCCTCCCTCCTTGTGCAGTGTCGGCATGTATGTGTGTGTGTGTGAGAGAGGGACAGAGAGAATACATTCCTCATCTAACTATCAATAAAACGAGCAGGACACTGCTGTCAGCACTGCATTATGACGTAGCTTCATTTAACACGACGAGCTACAAACAGCACCAAGTTTCCAATTTCCCAGGCAATAGACTTGTTTCACACAGTTTGTGCTGTCTGTGCTAGCTGGTAATTATTAACTTCTCAAATGTCAAGGTGGCCCAAAGAGCTGTTTCATACATTTAAATGAAGTCTATGAGTCTGCAGAACAGGCACATGCACATATTGGCATCGTGATACTACACTGTCATGTCAGGCCCCCTTAAAGACATGAAGGACCACACATAGAAAGCAGACTTGGTTTTTCACAGGTCAGCTCATTGCCACTCAGGACAGTTTTAATAAAAATACATCACGGTCCATATTAATAATTCACCATCCGACTCCAGTGGGGGCAATTAAGTGGTGAAGCAGCATTAATGAAAGTACAACCTGTAGCCCATAAGTCTTTGTCAAGACCCTGTCTGAATGTTCACCCAGAGAACTATCTTCCTAGTTAGTGTTCTTAGTGGGTGAAGGTAATGTTGGATGGTTATTGTCATACCCTAATACGCTAACATGTCGCATATTCTATATTAGTGGCCTGTACTGAAAAACAGGCTTACGTTAGAGTCTTGCCTTTATTTCTATATTTTTTTTTATATTACCCTGTTTTATAATTCTATTTTATAATTACGAAAGAAAGTTCTTTCATTTTAATTTGCTGTTTATTGTGTTTGATGTTCATGTAAATTCAACACTGTCTCTATGTTGTCCGACATTCAGCATAATGTACATTTCCACAGCAATAGAGCCATGTCATACTCACCACTCCGCTGCTCTCTTCTTTCTCTCTTTCTCCATCAGAGTTAAGCTACTGCCAGTGAAATTTACTATAACCTTCAAAGATTCTCTTTGAAGTGCTGTATATAAAATAACTTTATTTTTTATATTACATATGCTTTTGCATTTACACATTGTCTATTGATATTATATTTATATACTTAAACATGTGGCATGATGATGAGGATGTTGATAAGGATGAATTTTTCTTCACCAGTTTATGGAAATGTTTTTCTTTACGTAAAGGGAAACACAAAATTATGGTGGCAGGTGACAATTAAAAATCTAACCGAATCTTATGCAGCAAGGCTCTCAGGCATCTCCTCATGTGTGTGACACACACTCCTGTGAGATATTGAGATATATATTGAGATATATCCTGTGCTGAAGAAAGCTCAGAAACCACTGGATTTCTAGAGGAAGCTTAAGAAGGCCAAATTCCCACGGCAAGTTCTTGTCAGCTTTTACAGAGCAGCAACAGAAAGCATCCTGACTGGAAACATCACTAAGATGGAATGTGCACGGCCCAGGACCGGAGGGCTCTGCAGCGGGTGATTAAAACTGCTCAGAACATCATTGGTACGCATCTCCTGAGCATCAGTGATATCAGTGAGGTGAGGTGCCTACACAGACACCAAAGGATACTAAAGGACAGTACCCACCCAGCCACAGCCTGTTCACCCTGATGCCTTCTGGGAAGAGAGAGAGAGAGGTTTCTGCTGCCGCACCACCAGACTGCAGAGCAGCTTTTCCCCCCAAGCTATCAGACTCTTAAACTCTAATTCATCCTCAGCACTGCGCGACAGAATATAGTTTATTTCTGTTTACCATTTTAATAATTGCTTCTATATTAATGTATATTGTCTGCTACGTAGTAGAAGGGATCATCCCTGCTGAGTCAGCAGACCAAAGCGACCCAAATCCAATTTTTTTGCCCATATGTGACTCAGATCTGATCTTTTTATGACAGTTACGCCAAGTCACATGGAATCTGATCTTTTCCAGTTTGGATTCGGGTCACTTTCATATGTGGTCCAAATCCAAAACAGACCAGATCTTTTTAAATACGACCTGAGTCTGGACACTCACGTCGGAATTGATTGAACTTTGACGTCACTGTAGAGCAGCTGTGCTGCGCTGAATGAAAAAGCTCCACAAAAGCCATTATTAAACATGTGTCTCTCTTTCTTCTCTACCTCACTATCATCTGCTCACAAATTCCCTTTCTTACACCTGAAATCCACCGGACCGTGAGCTCTCTTTTGAGTTATGTGCATGCTACTGTGTCCGAGCAGACATAGTGGGAGAGAGAGAGGGAGGGAGTTGTGGGGCAGATGTGTTGTACAGTGCCAGAAACCGTAAAAGAAAAGAACAGAAAAAAATTGTGACCCGTGAGAGGCCAATGAAAAACGGGAGTCTCCCGTGAGCTAACCGGAGCAAACGTCTGCGGCTCTGTTTACTTCTGTAGCCTACAACAGCGTGCTGCGTGTGACGTTGTGTTATCCTTCTGTACATGCGGGTCACTTTCAGGCCGTATACAGTACACACTGGAGTCTGATATGGGCCACATTTAAACAATAATGTGATGATGACAATGATAAATGAATACATTTCTGCTTATTGTCAAAACTTCTGCACATTCAGAATCTCTTCCACATATCTGTGTTCTCTAAAATGTCAGGAAAAAAGAATATTACGAGACTAACATCATCATTTAATGAGAATTCCTAATATTTTCTGAAAGTCTACCTGCCCTATACTCTGCTGTGCATTACGTGATTGCTCCTCTGGTAGTTTGGGACTGCATGTTGCATGTGGAACCAAAAGTAGTGATGTGGTGACATTTTTACATTCAGTAAAATTTTCAGCTGGTAAAAAACGCTTTGGTGGACACAAGCCCTATCAAGGCATACACAGATGCATCAGCTGTGGAGAGGAGTTGATTTGCTTGGCGAGTTGATGTTAGCGGTTAAACATTAATTTTCTGAGAAAACTGATGTGTGAGATCAGAGTGTGTTTAAAAATGTCTCCTGCAGTATATATCAGCACCCTGACCTGACCTGTGCTTGAAAAAAATCTGCATTTTCTTCAGCAAATGCCGGTGGAGCAGGGGGCCTGGGTCTTAAAGGGCTATGTCTATACTCATAGAATCGGGAGTTACAATATGGAAATTAAGTTTCATAGAATATAAAGGATAAGGGTTAAGCTGATGTAGTCAGTACCCACTATGACACCAAGGCCCACAAGCAGGTAACCACCAGAAAAATGCTATGATGATATTACACTCCGTCCACACACCACTGCAACTGCAAAAGGGTGGACATTGATTACGTACCATAATGGTACCACTCATGGATGCTGCATTGACAGCGCCACGACTTGTGAGTGCCTCCTGTAATGAACAAAACAGCTGCTGTGTCTGCCTTACGTACTGAGACATTTCTTCTGCCTCATTTCTGTGAGGCGGGGGAAAGAACCCCTTTAAGGGAAATAACTAACTAAGTCACCCAAAATGAGTTTGTTAGGACTTTAGGTGTGAATGAGGGATTAGGCTGTAAAGTTGCTGCTCTCTCATCCTCTCCAACAGAAGAGACTGACATAGGTCACTCACTCTCTTAGCCTATGTCAGAGCTAGGAGGAGCACTGTTTTTAGGGATAGCATCTTGAGAGAGATTTGGGCTTTCGGCTCAAAAGGGGGACCTCCCAGAACAGACGGTTGGCTGTCGTCTGATTCCAAATATCGAATGCACAAAAACTGACCTCTCTCCATAGCCTGCGTGTCAGGATCAAATGGCTGCAGTATACGCTTTAAATGTAGATTACGTTAAATTGTTACCTGCCAACATCTGAAACAACAGCAAGTGAGGGACTCAGCTTCCACTCGTTGTGAGAGGGACACCTCAAGACATCGAGTCCGCATGTATGGCACTGCTGTCTTGTTGTCTGTCCTTACATGTCTGTTTGTCAGTAGAGGAGGAAATGACACGTGTAGCCTTCTGTGATTAGCCTTGACATCCATTGTTATTAAGCATCTGACAACATTATGGAAAGGATCCCTACAGAGAGAGACCTTTTTTATAGAGTAAAATACTTTTTGTTTAACCAGAACAGTTGATATCTCTGGTTTTTAACATAGTCATAAAAGCTAAATAAATAACAAGAACCAGTAGCAAAATGGCAAATCAGATCTGGCTGCCCACAATGCACAGCTCTGCTTGGCTCGTCTCCAGAGCATTAAGCCATGGAGAGTTAGCCAGATCTTCTCTCTCTATGTCTGTTGCTGCTCCTAGGCTCTGGAATGACCTTCCTCTGTCTGTAAAAACTTGTCCTTCATTGAGTACTTTTCAGAGTGCACTTAAAAGTTATTTGTTTTCTTTAGCATTTGATAATGCTTTGTAACTTGTGTATGTTATATGTTTGCTATGTTTTTTTTCTGTTTTTTTTATTTTCTCTTTTATACCTTCTGTACAGCACTCTGGTTCCACTTGTGGTGTTGAAAGTGCTCTATAAATAAAGTTGAGTTGAGATCTTCCGCTGGGTCTGGGAAGATGTTTTTTTTTTCTTAATGTTTTGGTAACTGGGTAAAGTTTAAGTAGACAACCTCCCATCCCTCCTTGTACACGGCATTGCTCAATGACACCACAGTATAGAGCCGAATTGACAGTAATTTCCCATGAATTCGTGCAAAGGCATATTTTTTTATGGAGCATGCCTGTTCATTAATTCACCGTGCTGTGGAGGTCGGGGAGTGTGTTATTGCTGTGAGGTGAGGCTGGCATTCACTCCACTGACTCTAAGCACAGATATTCAGGACTTGCCATTGGATAAGGGAAAGAGAGAAGGAGAAAGATGAAGAAATGACAACAGAACAAAAGCAAGAAAGACTGCTCACCTTCCATAAGTTGGAATGTGGGGAGGCGGAGCAGCCGCCCTGAATGTGTTGTACACGGTCCGTCCTCGACCTCGTAGGTGGGCTCCTCTGTATGCTGCTGCACCACCTGCTGGGTAGGGAAATCCTGGTACTGGAGACAAAGAACAGAAAATGATGCATACCTCTGATGTCACAATGTCCTCTGCAACTTATTTAAGTAGTGTTCATGGATGGTATGGCACAAACAGCTGTACCCCTGTAAGTTGAGTTAGTTAGCATTTGAATCCTGGAGAGAATGTGTAAAGTAGAAAGAAAATGTAAAGAGAAAGAAAGAATAATGGCAGTGGAGTAGAGCTATTGCAGCTGCGTGTTATTAACTTATCATTAATCTTAAAGGGAGACGAAGCTTAATTTGAGAACTGGGGTGAGTAAAGGTTGAGACGGAGATCGAGGTGCCATTTCCAACCCTAATTATACGTCTCTTCAAAAGGGAGATTTAATAAAATGCTAATAGAAACAGTGAATCATTCATTGACCTAATAAAAAATGGAAGGTTTGAGCCAAAGGATAAGAGTTTATCAAAGAGAGACAAGGAGCGGTGTGAGGCTGATAATTGTTTCTATTCATCTTTCGTCACCTTGATTTTAGGACTGAGTGGCTTGGCTACCTTTAAAGTCACACTGATGACTCTTCCCAACACTACTCCACTCTGCTATTGACTCGGGGTAAATGAAAAGGAGTGCTTGGCATATTCCATAGAGAACAACTTAGGACTTAAGAATACTGAGCAATACTGCACAATTCAATTTCAGTTCAATTTTATTTATATAGCGCCAAATCACAACAACAATTATCTCACAGCGCTTTTTTTGTGAGATAACTAATAACCCAATGACAATGTTAGTTATACTGTATGTACTAAGGATTAGCAGCCCTTCTTTGACCACAAAATTGTCAAAAAGGGGTTGTCCATATTCACTATGGGGCTGCACCATTGCATTGTCTTGGGAAAAAGACAAAATTGCAGAGTCTCAAATCCTTTTGGATGACAATCATGGCAACTTTATGCACCAATTGGACAGGAATGCAGAGATGTCAAAGTAGGCAGGGTTTGAACTTCGTTTTTAAGATCTCTTTTATCATTCATCACACTTTTGTCATAAGCAGCATTGAATGTTCCGTCACACATTCCCACATGTCAGAGAGTCATTCCAGGCATCACTACGCCAGAGGTAGGCCATCACAGCTCTGGATTTTCATGTGTTTTGGACAATGCACAAAGGAGTTAAATGTCATTTCCAGTGTCCACTACGTGACACTACAGAACACCCACTAATTGTACGTTATCTTGTAGTTCACCAAGTGTAGACCACACCATGAGAATTTCATGTAAATCCAACCATGATTTAGTTCATGTCGCCAGTAGGTGGCGCAATGATTTCATCTCTAAATTGGCATGTCTACGTCCTCAGGCCAGCACTCTTATCAAACATGTAAATTTGGGGGAAGGTACAATGCGCACTCAAGTTACTCAAACAGCTTCCTGTTTCACTGCAAACAATAAGCCATCATTCAATTCAATTCAATTCAATTCAATTTTATTTATATAGCGCCAAATCACAACAACAGTTATCTCACAGCGCTTATCATAAAAGAGCAGGTCTAGACTGTACTCTGTGATGTTATTTACAGAAGTCCAACAGTTCCCACCAAGAGCAGCACTAGGTGACAGAGGCAAGGAAAAACTTCCTTTTAAGAGGCAGAAACCTCGAGCAGAACCATGGCTCAGGGTGGGCTGCCATCTGCCTCCAACGGTTGGGGGTGAAGGAGAGAGAGAGCAACGGCATGTGATTAAAAATCTCAAGCTTAACTGTTTAGCATCATCAAGGTCTTAAGACTTTGTTGACCACATTTGAGATGGATTTGGCAAAACCTGCTAGGAGTAATTTGTAGGAGTGTAAGGCCTGTTAATTCCTGTTGCCAGCAGGTGGCGCTGTTGATGATTCAACATTTGGGACTCATAACAAACGTGATGTTTGGGACAGATGTGACCAAGAGCGCTCAAGTTACAACAACTTCCTTTTCGAGGTGACACACACTGCAGTCATAACATATTAATAACATAATGGCACAATTTACTAATACAGACACTCCTGGTACACTCCTTGCACATACATACAAAACACACACACACACAATGGCACGCCCCAATGGCATTTTGGGTACTTGAAAGGTGAAACAAAGGTAAATCAATAAAAAGCAATTCTGTAATTAAAAGAACGTAGGGGTGAATTAGGCAAATGACTGGAGAGGTTGAAAATATTGATTTTAATTTACAAAATATATTTCACACCTTTTGATATCCTTGCTGAAATGGGCAATTAGATTTCCTTCTTTCTTGTCCTTTGCTTCACTCCTCCTCTCCTCTGCCTCACTCTTTTATCTGTCTCTGTTCTTATCACAAAATCCAGGTATGTTTCACCTCAGTAACCATGGTTAATGCCAGGGTGGGGGGTTGGCCAGTGGTTAAGGGTTGGGGGAGGTGAATGCTGGGATGGTCAAGATTGAAGATGGATGGCATGTGGGTGGCAGTGAGGGCGGCAGTATGTGTTTTTGTTTTGCAGCAGGGATGACAGTCTGTTGATGCGTTTGTGCAACTCAGCATAGTTGTCAGGCTATAAACAGATTTTGCCTGGTTGCATGTTGCTTGGAAGGAAAGCAGAGGAGGAAGAGGTGAGGAAGGTTAAAATGAAAGGGGTGGGCAAGGAGAAGGAAAGAAATGAAGATGTTGAAGAAACTGAAGAATAAAACAAATGAAGAGGGAGATAACGACAAAGGAGATAGTGACAGTTGGAGAAGGGTATGTCCTCCTACCTGCATAGATTTCTGGACTGTAGACAGTGCTGACCACTGGATTTAACTTCCAGCCTGAAACAAGACAGGCCACAAGACAACGAAACACACACAGACAGGGAACAGTGTTTTAGTGTAGTTAGTTTAAATGCCTTATATGCTCTGACTGAACTTTCACCTGTCCGGGAATGTATTCAAATATTTTGAACACATTGAGGTCACATTAATACCTTCTTCACATGTCAGTTGACATTTTATATTGTCTTATATGAAATGTTCATCTCAAAGCTCTTGGTTAGAGCACTGATATTTAAATAATAATCTAAGTGTAGCTTGAAGAGACTACAAATTTCATTGTACAAGTACAGTCCATTAACCATTAACAATCTTGAGGTCTACTGTAAATCCATCAAGCCTCTCAAACCCAGTTTAATGGTAAACTAAATGTAAATGCTCCGTATTTGTATAGCGCCTTTCTAGTCTTTTCGACCACTCAGCCTAAGTGCTCAAACAGAAACTAACATTCACACACACTGGTGGAACAGCCGCCAGGGCTCAGTATCTTGCCCAAGACATGGGGGAGCCAGGGATTGAACTGCAAATCTTCTGATTAACAGGCAACCCACTCTATCTCCTGAGCCACAGCCGCCTAAGAGCTAAGAAACATCACATGGTCAACAATAAACCTGTAGCCAATGTTAACTTCGTCTTTCTCTCGGATAAATTTAGCCAGCAGATGGTGGCAGCGGAAAGTGGATGATAATGTTTCCCAACTATTTTTAAAATCATGGTAAAGCCAGCATGCATACATCTTTCAAATATATAATAAAATGCCAATCTAATCAAGTTAACCTCCCTTAGCTACACAGCTAGTAGCAAGCTAGAAAGCTGATGCTGAGCTACACATGTTTGATAACTATTTAGGTGACTCACCCTCTGGGTGCATTTTTCGGTGTGATAAAGTTTGATGTGGTCAATCCTGTATTCTTTATATTGGATATAGTGATTCTTTAGTTTGGGCTTTGTGTGAAGTTATAATAGCCAAATGTTCTGACAAATGGCTCAGCAGCTGCAAGTGAGCTCACCATAGTGTTGTAGCTGCAGCTTCACAGTCATCTGTGGTGAAGTGCACCAAATAAAGATTGTTCACGAGTCCTTTTGAGAAGGAGTCTCAAGTCACTGTGCGTGCGACGACTAATTTGCGTTATCAGTCAGTACCATAACGTATAGTTGTATCAACATGTTTTTAGTCAACAACGGACTGTCAAATCAAATAATATTTCAAGAATATTTACTCAGTCAGTCAGTTTTCACATCAAACTGGAGGGATAATAAATAATAACTATTCTAATAATAAATTATAAATTTAAGTAAACTAAAATAAAGTGTCTAATTTTTAGAAAGAAAAAAGAAAGAAAAAGTGTAGCTTGAAGTGATGAAGTGTAGTCTTAACCAATTTTATAATAAACACTCAACACATCATAACAAATGAACAGCTACCACTTTGTGTTAGTTTAGAGAGTATTTTGTGTGTTTGTATTCTTAATATTGCCTGTCTGAGTGGCTTCAGTCAGTGTTTTTGGAACCTTTGTATATCACCTAGTGTGATTTAGTGTACCAAGAGTTGGCCATTCTTTAGTTTGAGACCTCTAAGTTGCAGAGTAAGTGCTAGTTTGTTTTTGTCCATTGTATTTCTGTAAGCTTATGTGTGCTGACCTTCTTTTGTTCTGTAGTGTATTTCTGAGCCCAGAGCTAAGTACTGTCTTTTGACAAGACCCTCTTTTGCTTCATTTTGTGTTTTCTTTTGTGTGAAGTTTCTTTCTGTTAAATTTCCTTGTGCAGGCGCACTCTCCTGGTTAATTAAACACCTGACATTAACCAGAATCGTCCAGTTGTCGCATTCCACCTCATTTCCAATCCCAATTACGTGTTACTGCCTCCCTTAATGAGCAGGGTCATAACAGCGCGCACACAGACTGAGAGGGAAGAACAGATGTCATTGCAAGAGAAAACAAGTGGCATACAGTAGTACTGAGGCATCTACAATACAGCAAATACAATTAACGACATATATAAATTAACCATTCAGTTTATTTGTGGAAGAATTATCATATATTTTGTGGGAGATTATTTTGAATTGTATGAATGTGTTGTTTTTCTACCAACATGCTATCATCTTTTGTTGACAGTTTAGAAAGACTTTGTGCCTTAAGGATGTTGCTGTGACGGGCATATTTTCTAATGAGCATATTTCCTAATGTTTACTACAAATATGCATGTTTTTTTGTATTGTGCTTTTATATGTATGTATATGTATGCAAGGCATAATCCTTGCATGACATAAATAAAAGTACAATATCAAAGGGTTGACATGCTGTCCTCATGACACAAATAATACTTTTCTATAGTTATATACTGTACTTAGTTAATATAGTTCTCGGCTGCAGGCAAAGAGGGCTCCGAAGAAAACGTTTGCCCTCTGTTGTCTTGAGCCAGGCCTGCTAGCATCCCCTCATAGTGAGGGAGCAGCAATAGGCTCAAGCGGAACTTAGTGGACAGGCTGGAGTGTTTGGTTTGACCATGTCCTGGATGTACGATGGACCTGAGGCTTTTGTAGCATGGCAGGCAACTACCAGTAGGAGAACTTGAGTAGGTTGAAGAGGAGCTGCAGAAGACGTACACGTATCACATGTAGGCACACCAGCCAGGAGAGAGTTGCAGAAGTCTAGGCACGAAAACTGGACCAGAAAATGGCTAAAACCCCTTCACTTCCCACAATGCAACTCAGTAACATCTTTTGGTCGGCCTTCCTTGCCTGGTAAATGGCAAACTCCATGTCCCACAGTTTGTAACTCAGGTTTCTACAAAATGTAAATGTATGTGTCTGTAAGGTGACAAAACTCATGACATCACCAGACAAAGGCATCACTAACCTGAAGCATTTAACAAGAACTGCTGGATCTGGTGTCAAAGCTGTATATAAACTTCTTGCACTGGAATCAAATCTCTCAAGAGGGACTTCCGGTTAAGGCGTGGTGCTAGTGGGCCGCGTCTTGGTGAAGCTCCGAAGCTAACTTATTGAACTAATTATTCACGAGACCGCAAACAGTTTAAACATCACATATACTTGAAATGATAGAACACCAGACAATACAATGGTTGGGGAGTCTCAGAAAACAGCAACAAAGCTCAGCAACATCGAAAACACCAGCTACTTCACAAGCTAATGCTAGCACGTCTGCAGCTAGTGTAGAGGAAAAGGCTAAAGATGTGACAGCAGATGGGCTCGGCACTGAGGTCCTCAGCGCCATACACTTGATGAAAAATAACTTCTCAGATAAATTCAAAGATATGCTAGCCGGGATAAGTGGACTCAAGAATGAACTACAAAGCCAAGCTGACATGATAACAGAAACTGAAGACAGAATTGGGAGGGCCGAGGACGATCTGACGCTATGCACAACACTATTAAAAATCTGAAAGAGAAGTGTGCCACGCTGGAAACGAGAGTAGAAGAGCAGGAAAATAGAGGCTGTCACAACAATTTAAAAGGCCAAGAAGTGTGCTTTTTTAGAAGGATGGCTACCAAAAGCTCTTGGCACGGACACCTTTCCCAACCCTCCCGGCATCAAGAGGGCGCACAGGATAGGACAACTTATTGCTAGCCAGGATACAAAACCAAGAGCGGTTATTATGAAATTCCTTAACTATAGAGAAAAATAAAAAGTTATGCGAGCAGCCCGAAGACTAGGAGAAGTGCAGTTTGGAAACTACAGCGTCCGATTCTACCTGGACTACTCAGCGGAAATTCACCAGCAGCAGCAGCAGCTCTTCGACACAGTGAAAAGACAGCTACAATCCAAGGGTCTCCGCTATGGCATGTTCTACCCAGCCATCCTGGTAGTCACGCACAACGGACAGCGACATTCATTCACGTCGGGCCTCGACGCGGAAAAGTTTGTCCAAAGAATAAAGAGAGATACTACTTCCACATCAACACCGGACAATGAGTAGATTGAACAGAATCTGCTGTATTGTGGCTATCACGACACCGGCTGTTTCCATGTGGCCAGAGGTAAACAACCTCATAATGATTGTTAGGCTGTGATAAGCTATTAATGCGGTAACCTGTAATGTTAACTGCCAGTGCAATTATGCAATGCTATACTGGAAACGATTTGTTCTTGAATGGCTGCTTAAAGATGACCAGGCACTAAAACATACAAATCCATCTGGTTTATAATAATGACGTTGAAGCTCAGTGTGTTTCATTCTGAATAATTGTCCCTCTAGTGAGGATGTTTTTCTTTGTCATTTCTATCTCCTTGTTTGATAACAGTTTACACATGTTCCCATGCCAAGAGGCAAGATCTGTTTCATGTTCACAGAATGTTCAACTGGTCTGAGGCATTTAAAGCTTATATTAGAGGTGTGATGATAAGCTATACAAGTTATAAATCAAAGTCCCACTATAGAAATCTAATCAACCTTGAGGCCCAGATTAAAGCTCCAAAGCTAGACCTATATCAAAATGATAGGAAACATAAGGAGCTCCTTTTGTTAAGAACTAGGTATAAAGAACTCTCTACATTCGCTGCAGGCTACGCTCGCGACTCGTGGGAGACCTGGCAAGCGGTTTGCTTGGATGTTTTATCTGTGGAGGACATTGAAGATTTATGGATAATTGGAATTTTGTTAGTGGGCTTCCTGATTATCGGGCTTGGAATCTCCCTAATATATCGTAAAATTGGTAAGACAGCCGCCAGCAAATTTACCCAAAAGCTGTCTGGGGAACTTAAAGAGTGCTTAAATGGAGTGAAAGAAAACCTGAAGGTTTTACAATAAAGGGCTGATCAGAACGGTGAACCGTTTCGTAACATCTCAGACTGGTCTGTGGAAGTGCAGAGGAGGATTGACACCATCGGGGCCCAGTCTGGTGAGCTGCTGAGAGTAACCACTGGCCTGACAATGAAATTAGAAGAAATGTCGAAATCACTACATGAACTGGATGCACGTATGACGCTGAGGATGAGAGCGATTGAAGGACACTGATCCGGATAAATGTTACAGAATCA